ACACACACATATATATTTACATGTAAATTATAAGTTAGATAACAAATCTGCATTAATAGTATCAGAGCTATTCTTTTTCTCCAACGCATCATGGTGACAAAATTAAAACATTTGCCTCAAGGTTGAACAATTCAGCCCATGAATAGATGAAAAATTCTAAAACATTCAATATGCATTTAAGATAAATAATCTGGGTAGTTTAGAAAAATAAAAATAAATGCTATAAAAGGAAAATATTAATGCAAGCATATACAATTTTTTAAGAAACCTAATTTCTTGTGGCACTTTATACTTTCAAAACTAATGTTTAGGCAAATACATTTTGTGTTAATAATAAAGATAATTAGGTAGGGTGGGAAGGCACTTAAATAACATAAGCAATGACAACTTTAAACAGGTGACCATACATGAAAAATACCAATTTAATAAGAAACTGTGACATTCATAGCAGTACTATTCATAATAGCCCCAAAGTGGAAACTACCCAAATGCCTATCAACTTGATAATGAATAAATAATGTAAAGGCACACAGGGGAATATATACTATAACAACATGCAATTGTGTGGATGAATTTTACAAACGTAATATTAAATGAAAGAAGTCACACATAAAGAGTACATGCTACATGACTCCATCTACGTAAGGTTCAACATAATTAAAATAAATCTATGGGGGTGGTTGAATGGGGGAAAGGGGAGTCACTTTGTGAGGGGTGAAAAGTATAACTATTGCATTGTTTTGTACACCTGAAACTAATAATAAAATATAAAATAAAATAAAATAAAATAAAATAAATCTACGATATTGGAAATCAAGGGATAGTGGTACATGAATGGGGGCAGGAGGGGAACTACTGGGTATGGGAAATATCCTGTCAGTCTGGGTGTTGGATGCTCGGGTATATACAATATGTGAGGATGCATCAAGCTGTCCACATATGGTTTGTTCACTTTTCTTAAGGAATGTCATATTGCAACAAAAAGTTAAAGAAAAGTAACTGTGAAATTACTAACTCAGAACCGCCAAATAAGGAATACCAAAATCCGCTGCTTGTTTTAGGTGCTTCTAGGACCTTTTTGGAAAGTATCTGTGTCTCAGAAATTCAATACCCAGTAATGATCTGTGACCTAAAACACCCGAACCCTTGAAAGTAATGTCATACTTAAATAGAAGCTTTTTCATCTGAAAGGAAGTTTTTGTGAGAGTGCTCAATGAATATGTATGAGTTTGAGCCAAGCGTGTATGACACTCCAGGTTCTGTCCCTAACTCCAACTGCTCTTTTTTTGTCTCATTGACTAGCTCCTGTAGCTCCTTCTCCCTCTTAAGATGCAGTCCCTGGCTCAACTCTATTTTTCCCCTTTCTCTACACTAAATTCATGCTCCTCTCTTCAGCCATCATGTCTGTCACGTTCCTTGAAGTGAAATCTCGGGCTACAGTTGCTTTTACTCACACTCCAGTCCTAAATGCTAGACTTGCCACCACTTCAAACACAGTTTGCCTAAAACCAAAGCCAGTATGGCAGTTCCTCAAGTTATAAAATAATTCCAGCAATTCTACTTCTGAGTATACTCGTATAACCAAAGAAGGGAAAGCAGGGACTGGAACATATATTTGTGCAACAATGTCCACATAATACCATTCACAATAGCAAAAAAGTGGACACAACCTAATGTCCATCAATAAATAAATGGGTAAACAAAATGCAGTAAAAAGGAGTGAAATTCGGACACCTGCTACAACATGAATGGACCTTAAAGATATTATGCTATGTAAAATAAGACAGACACAAAAGGACAGATATTGTATGATTCCATTTACATCAGGTAACTAGAATTGACAAATTCATAGACAAAAAGTAGAATAGTGGTTGCCAGGGACGGGGCAGGAGGAAGAAATGAGGAGTTGTTTAATGGGTTGAAAATTTCAGAATGAGAAGATAAAATTTTTCTAGAGATGGATGTTGGTGGTTGCACAACAATATGCATATACATAATTCCATCCTTAAAGATAGATAAAATGGTAAATTTTGTGTTATGTACATTTTACCAAAATTAAAAAAAAATAAAGTCATCCTCCTTTTTCCCTCTCAAACTGCTTTTTCCTAAATCCTCCTATCTCCATTATATCTTTCTCCACATCTATCCAATATCCCCCACTCGTTACCCCCAGGTATCAGGAATTCTTCCTCTGAATGTCTCTCATACAACCAACAATCCCCCACCATTCTCACTATCACCATTCCAACTTAAACCTTCATCTTTTCTTAACGAATTTCCAAACCTCTACTTTCTTGCTCTTCCAACCCAACCTGGGCACTGACATCATAGCAAACCTCACAGACATTTGTATCAGTGTGACCCCTGCTCAAAAAGCTTGTTTACTGCCTACTTGCTATGAGACAAATCAATGGAGT